TACTGGTTTCCTTAAGGGTTATAAATAAGGATAATTGTAAGTAAAAATATTTTATTTCGCCAAATTAATTCGCTTTCAACGACCGATCGCAATTCTCAAAAGTCCAAGATGAAATAGTCCACATGAAATAGTTGGTCTTGAAAATGACGGCAGATAAAAGTTCGTTGTGTCAATTTTAAGATATTTTTAAGACTTAGAATTTTACTATAAAAAACAAAACAGTAAGTGATAACGCACATAAGGGTCATTACCTTTCATTTTAAGCAAAAAACAAAACAAACACGAAATTTTGTTGACTAGAAAGCTCAAATTTGTTTCTTAACGAAACCCCTCAGTGTTTTAAATATATACGTTGACAAAACAGACGAAAGACGATCAAATTAACTGCTAGAGTGTTAGCTTTCTTGCCATTACACAAACTGTTCGATTCTTGAATTGTTCAAACAACACAAAAAAACCTCGGATGCTCTGAACAAGACAATCTACTGTAATGCGGTCACATTTGAGCAGAAGGACATTGGAATAAAACTGTAGATTTGTATTAAAAACAACATAAGAACATTCTTTGTATATTAGAAAATAATTATCTGGGAACAGACAATCATACGTTATTCAGGCAAAATATTCCAGCTCTATCAATATCAGTTTGTGGCGGTCTAATCCTGGGAACGATCGTTCAGAAGATTAGCCTAGACAATCAGACAGGCTGACAGAAAAAATTCAAAAAAAATTGAATGGACGACGATTTAGTACGACGCAAATATCCATACGATATTTTACAAAAAACAATTATAAAATCACAGACACTTTAATTTCATTTATTTAGTTAATTCAGTAAGTAAACAAACCAAATAGATCAAGCATGATACCTAATCACTTAACCCTGCCTTGCATCCAATGGTTGGGTACAAACAAAAAAAGGGTTTGGCGCCCCTAACAGTTTTTATCCTCCCCGTGAACTGCGTGAAGATGGAGGTGGAGTTCCAAGGGAGCAACATATCGCGGAGCGCCGCGCCGGGAGGGCGGTCGACTGGGTGGGTGGATGCAGCTCGCACGCGGCACGTGGGCAGTTTTCGCCCCTGGCGATCGCTCCGGCCGGGGGCGGCGGCGGCG